ATGGGTCGTATGACATAATATATAATTGAATATTCTTACCGATTTTTACTGTAAATTTGCTACCGTCGTGCATGAAATAAGAAGAGAAACTAACTTAATTTTATCTGATTTTCTGCTATAATTTGAGAATTACATACCTCTTTCGATTTCCTTTATCACAGCAAAAAATATGATCGTCTATTAATGTAATTTTAATTAACAATTTGTTAATCGTAATTAATAAATCCAATTGCCATTCGCGAATTATTCCGTGAGAAGTGTAAATTATTTTCAACGCAATATCTGTTTTCTTTCGAAACATAAACATTTCTTTACGTGCAACTTTGACGTTTTTGTCACGCGTGTGTCTTCTGACCAATTAAAAACTCAGGAAAATCACTCGTAATTTCTTTCCGCATAAATAATTTCAAAATGAACTACCTCTTAAAACATGTCATATTAATAGTTATACGATATTTTATTTAAAGATCATATTATTATTATTATTTTTTACGAAATGTTTTAAATATAAAAATTACTAAATTTTAAGATAAGACGATAAAATAGTTTATTTAAATACTTTTTTGTTTTTTGAACAGTGACGAATGAAGTGTTGATTGTCTCGATGAAAGAATTTTGTCTCACAAACCGCACAAAGTTTACATTTTCGTTTTCCTCTATTAGACCTACAAACGAAATAGACCTACGTATTCAAATACTCCATAGTTTAATACGAAATATTTGAAAAGTATCATTTTACCTTTCGAAGCAATTTATAAATGACCACGTCCCAAAAAGTCCGGACCTCGATACACTGTACAACGACCTATTATCCGACAGCTACTGTGTATACGTTGTTGCTTTTGACGGGTATGACACGTGACTTCTAATACTGTTGTTTCCTGGATTAATTCTGCATATGCATGAGTAATAACGTGTAATTTCCACACGCCTATCGCTTCATCGAATTGTTGAAAACAATTTAGGAACACTTTCTAACAATATGAACAATATTTGTTATATTATTCGGTATTGCTGACTCGCTATCTTTTCTTGTTTGCCCATTTTTTCGTGTTATTCTGTTATTATTTCGTTTAATTTTTTAAATACTGTATTATATAATTGTATTAAAATTTTAATTTTATCTACAAAGAATTATCAGGTTTTTGACAATTGATTAATTAAATATATTTATTTATTTTGGCCTACTTTTTTGTTTAATTTCCGTACTGTCGAAGGTGATGACTCTGGTATGAACTTGCAAGTGAAACTGGTCTTTATTTACGTGTTACTAACGTGAAGAAAACCGGGAAAGTCCACGTGCAGCCCTTTGGTCAGGAGAGAATCCACGATCAGCATTTGTTGTTTTTATCCACTCGATCACTATGTGTTAAATTCTAAAAGTTGAAACAGAACAGTACTATAATGCTTCGCCATTGTTATTAGCGGAGTAGGAATTATTTTCATTAAGAATTAGGGAAGTAATTTATTTAATGGAATTTAATTAATATCGTGGTGTATGCGGATTCCGATGAATTTTCTATTATTTTATTCATACATTCGTTATTTTAACATTAAAAAATAATTCTAATTAACAAAATTTAAATGCTAATCAGTCAAATTGAAACTGGTCTATTAANAATTTCCGTACTGTCGAAGGTGATGACTCTGGTATGAACTTGCAAGTGAAACTGGTCTTTATTTACGTGTTACTAACGTGAAGAAAACCGGGAAACTCCACATGCAGCCCTTTGGTCAGGAGAGAATCCACGATCAGCGTTTGTTGTTTTTATCCACTCGATCACTGATTCTAAAAGTTGAAACAGAACAGTGCTATAATGCTTCGCCATTGTTATTAGCGGAGTAGGAATTATTTTCATTAAGAATTAGGAAAGTAATTTATTTAATGGAATTTAATTAATATCGTGGTGTATGCAGATTTTTCTATGAATTTCGATGAATTTTCTATTCTTTTATTCATACATTCGCTATTTTAACATTAAAAAGTAATTCTAATTCACAAACTTTAAATGTTAATCAGTCAAATTGAAGCTATGGTCTATTNATTATTAATTTTCAGACATACTTTTTCTGTGGGCGACATTGAACAATGTGAACGTGAATATCTCAAATTGCCTTCAGCTATTGTTTTTTAACTAAGATTTATAGCCTATACATTAACTATTTCTTGTAAAAATATTTTCTAATGTTTTCCTTAACAACACACACATCTGTATTTATTCTTGGTAAATATCTGATTATGTAATAAATTAATTTAAATATGGCTATTAGCTTAAATAGAACTTCAGAGTAAATTCTATCACAAAGAAAACCTTGAAGTAAATTTTTTATTTAATATAAATTTTTATTTGATTATGTGGTCACTTCCTGTTGAATGATTGAATTCTCCAATGATTTCGGTTATTTATTTCTCTCGAATCCATCCTGTTCGGTTCCAGGTATTTGTTTCCTATTATATTATTTTTTAAATTGATGGATTAAGACACGCAACACACGGGCAACCTGCCAACAAAAGATGCATACTGCTTTTATTCTAAGGCTTTTTCCAACTTCACAAATTTTCTTTTGCGTTAATAAGCTGTTCTAAAAGACACAAGTAGAATATAAAAACAATAATACAAATTTTATCGCTGTATAATCATTTATTAATTTCAATCACCGTTCAATCTTAATCGTTAGACATATGTAGCACGCACTCTGCGCCTGCATGTGATATAATTTACAATACGATAAGTGCACTGTGGTTGTGGATAATATTATCATTTAAAACTTTAAACGTTAATATTGTAGTTGCGGCTGCAAAAAGTATCTATTGTATATGTTTGCTACAGATGATAAAACCTACTAATATTCCTTCCGTATCTCTTTTTTTTCGTGAGCCGAATAAAATATATAGTAAAACCAGTATAAACCGGAGTCGCAGGTACCAAATAATATTTCGTTTTGAACAGCTTTTCCTTTTAACATATATAATTGCTTCGTACCGAAGAATTTTTCTGTTTGTGCTGGTATTCTTTTAATTCGGGATCCGTTTTAGATGTGTGTTTTATCGTGTAATTTAGGTAAATATTTTAACTTTAACATAAACAGAAGAAAGAAATAATTACAAAACTCTGAATCGAACAATTAATTGCTAAACAAATTTGGAATGTCCACTACACAGACTTGTGTCTATTAAGAAATAGCTTTCACCTCGCACTTAGTTTGGAGTTGGGGAAAAATCAGTTTCCTAAAAATACTTTATTAATATGCACATATTGATAAAAGTATTTTGATTTATTCCATCAAAATTCTTAAAAAACATAAAAGAGCATTTAATATTGAATATAGAGCTGGCTTCTGGAAAATTTTTCGAAACAAATATATTTATTTTTTTGATAAACTAAAAATTTGTACCAGTAAAAAACATTTCATAACATGGAAGTTTTTTTGAGATGTAGTACCATCCCCTTAATATCTTCCGAACTAATGGTCCGATTTTCCTGAAAATTTCTACAAACATTTCGCCTTGATACGTAAACCATCATGTAAAATTTCAGAAATTTTCGACGAGTACAACGGGAGTTATTAAGCTTGAAATTGGGGGGATCTTGTCTCCACGCACGCATGCACACAAACTTACTCACTAGCATCCATACGCGCAAAATAAACCCCAACTTTTTTGCGCTTTTCAACATTTTATAAATCCCAAAGTCGAAAAATGTAAAAAAATCTTAGAGGAAGGGATCAATTTTTGACCTAGCGCAGTACTTTCCCTCTGTAATTATATAACAGTAAGGAAAGTAAAATAAAACGATTTTAAATTAAATTCGCATGAATATTATTTTAAATATACTTCCATTATACTTCCATGTTATATTAAATATACTTCCATGTTATATTTATTACAATTATTACGAGGTACAATAGATTTACTTTTGCCGAATTTAAATAAAAGCGAAACTTCTTATAGCAGTGTAAATGCACGCTTATCAATTAAGTGGATAATTAACTTATGGAGATGTTAGGATGAAGATCATTAATTTCTTGTATTATGAGTGATATTTTGCTCTTCGAATAAGTTTTTAAACAATAATTCGAATATAACTTATTTGGTAATGTAAATGGGTTGTAACTTGTTTTCATTGGTTAACAATGGATTTAGCAGACTTTCAATCTGCTAAAGTATTTTTAATATAGTAAAATTACAATGAAATAAAAGTCAAAATAAATGAATGAATGAGCAAAGTCAAAATAACAGTTTCTGTCAGGCAAAATCTGACACTATTTTTTCAAAACAAGAATAAAATAAAATAAAATATGCAGAGAAAAGAAATATTCGTCTCGAAATTGAATGGTAAAAAAACAGGCTATTATTGTGGCACGCCACAATGCCGGGCTGCAATTTTTTTGGCACATTGCTCTTAATCTTAATAGTGTCTTGTTCCTGTATATCATACTTTTCCTGTAAACAATAAAAACATGCCGGTTATCTATCTAACTTCTTCCAGGAGAAAACCTTGAATTGAAATAATGTCACTTCCTTTTCAAAAAGGAGTTTCAAATATATAGTTATTTGGGATCTTCTTTTCTGAAACTTTCAATATCTATTCTCGCTTTTTATCTATCTAATTTAGTTTTCGAGATTAATAAAAGACAGACAGTCAGGAAATTTATAGGTCTAGAATTTTATCAAATTGCAAGCAAAAAATACAGGCTCAGTTAATTGATCAATAGATTGAACACGTTTAACATTATTCCTTAATTTATGTATTTCTTTCAAACCACTTTCTCGTACCAGATCCTGTCACTTTCTTTGATGCATCTGTGGAGGCTTTTATACAGATATTATTGTTTGTTACAAATATAACTCGACCAATATACGTAAACAAAATTAGATATATAATAATATTTAAGTAGTTTTGCAAATATAAATCTTTATGTATATTTCTTTTTATAAAAACTTTAGTTTAGTTAATTTAAAACATATCGATAAAGTAAAGGAAGTCAACTAAGGTGATCAAAGTGAAGAATTTTATTAATATTTTTTTTAAATACAAGGAAATGAAACAACGCAGGTTGTTTTAATGAGTATTTTTTCTTATATCGTACAATTCACAATATTACAACTGAAATCCATTTGAAATTCGATTATTCGGTTTCTATTGTCATGCCATTACACTTCGATGCTACTATAAATAAAAATCGAGTTTGTGTCTATATATATACATATATAATTTCTAGTTCACTCAAATATATACAAGTGTGTTAAGAAGACGACATTCCTTCTGCAAACAAACAGCTTACAAAGAAACTCGGGATGTGTTAAAACACACAAAGTTGTTAGCCATCGACGATTGATTTGGCAGTTATTCAGTTATTTATGTAGTAACGTTTATACACTTTTTAATGCTTTATGATCTGTCATTTAATTCGTTTGCAATAAACTGCCTTAGTATTAACTCTTATTTAGAACAAATGCAAATTATCACACTTCTGATTTGTATGTACTCTATCTGGACGAACTGAAAGAAAGATAAAAAATTAGAAACAATGGATAAGATTAGCTTGTATTTCTTATTTTAAGATAAAAAAAAAACCGTATTATCTTTATTGACGAAGAGTTATCTTCCAAATTAAAACGTGAAAAATTTATTAATTTAATTTTTTGAGAAAAGTACATTCGTGATAAACATTTTTATATTACTGACATTAATTGATTTCTTATGTCTTGATATTAGTACTTAAGTAAGCAAAATCATTAAGCAATTATCTTGCATTATGATTGATATAAAAAATGATCAAGATCTGATGAAGTTTCCTTAATTTTTGTTTTTGTTTTTGTCAAGGATTTCTCCAGGAAAACCTTGACAAAGTAATAATTGTAATTGCACAAAGAAAACGTTAATAAAATTGAAAAATTTATCAACTGCAGTATAGAGCAGTGGTGCGCAAACTGTTTTCATTTCCGACCCTTCCCCCATTTTGTGAAAAATTTTGTCACGACCCCTGAATAGACAGTAGACGTTTTTTTAATCGTCAACGTATTTGAAGTGAAATTTTTTCTGGGATTTACGCTTATGTTTCTGCCTTATTAGAGGTCTGAATATAACACATAATTTTATGATAGAATAGTTTTATTTATGCATATACTCGTTGAAGTAAAGCCTTATATTTTTTATTGTCAAATAAATGTCTTTGAATTTGGCGGCCCGAAAAATTTTCTCATTACATATTTTATCATTTTTTTCGCGAAAAGGATCGCGAGCCACGGTTTGCGCATCACTGGTATAGAGTAGCTATTATTAAACATTAATAAAGAATGATTAAATTGATCTTTGTATATCTCAGTATTAATATCCATATTAATGATACATCAACCGAAAGTATTCAAAAATAATTGATACAATAAGATTAAGACAGAATATCGCACAGATTTGAAGTGAATTTATGTAAAACAATAAAATATTTTTAAATTTTTCGTATATTGACCTGTAAATCTAGATAGTCGCAGACTGTCACACAAATAACATCTCGACGTGGAGCCAAAATTTAAAGCAAAACAAATGTCGCATTCCCACGATTTCGATGACAATGTTTCCTCAGAATCTCCATTTGACTGGGAAAACGTATTCATTATTAAAACATTTTAATTTAAACTCAATATAAATGATATTAATATAGATTCTTACTTCTTTTACAACCGTTGATTTGCAATTAGGATTTGCTGCTTGACTTGTCAAACATTTAGAAGACGTTTCATTACTTAAGTATGTAGCAGTCGGTTTGATGTATCTCTTAAAACCCCTCTCAAAGAAGTAATTATTTTCTGGTGCTAAAAAATAATTTAAAAACATTATCAGCGAGTTGCGTTGCTTTCTCTGTTTTTATGAGATTTTATTTTAAAAATAACATATGTAATCAAAATAACTAACTTAAATCGTATATGGCTCCATCTGTTATAAAATTTTGTTATAGAATCTTTATATATATTTAATTATTATAAAACAGCAAAACACATAATTTTAAAGGTAGAGATGAGTTTATAAAACTCTGTAAATGCTAACAACAAGTAAAATCTTCATTAAGTCTGACCCTTCGCCAGTTACGACACGTGACCACCCTCTATCTCTCCATCCTCTTTATCTTTCACAACCAAAATTTAAAAGCATCAATACCCCTTATGTACAAACTACCGTGCTACATTTCGTTTCTTTATCTTCACCCCCTCCTGAGATATTAAACGAAATACACGCCAACGCACAAATTCGAACAATATTCGTATATTTAAAAAACACAATTACCTCTCCACGGATAAAAAGCAACTTTACTGAATGGATGAAATAGGTCATTTTTATTTTCATTTTCTTCTTGTTGATTTGAACATGAAGCTTTTCCAGTGTTCTTAAGTACTAATTTTGAGTCTATAAATAAAAGTGATTGGTAAAATAATAATGAATATTAAATAATATTTATTAAATTCTTAAAATAAATAATGTCGTATTACATTATATTCTATATCAAAATATAATGTAATACGACATTATTTATTATTTAAATTCGTCAAAAATTGATAATATCAGTTAAATAATGATCAAAGTTTTTTTTTCTCTCGACTTTAACAGTAATACAATTTCAAAAAAAGGCCATAACATACGTTCAAACATTTATAAAATATTCTATTAATATATATTAATAGAATTAATATATTAAAAATAATTTCTATTATGTAAAACTCAATTTCACTTGAAACACATTGTGTTTTAGTCTGATTTTGTTCATAGGGAAGACCGGGGCAACTTCGGCATGCGGGGAAAGTTTGTCAAGCGCTTTTTTTTAAAAACAAATTAAAAGGAGACTTTGGTTATAGGTTAGGCAGTTGAGTTTTATTGGTGGCTTGTTGAGTGTAGTGTTTTTATTGTTCTCCAACAAGCGTAGTTGAATTATCAAGCAAATTTTCATTTTCGTTCAATTCNGTATTAGTGGACATCCATTTATTTCATTAAATTTTATACAGGATGCATTTTATTATATTTATTTCAAAGTTTCTTGTATGTTTCATTTTTACTTATGGTATCTATCATTCATAAAGTGATGAAGGTTTTAACGAGGATAGAGTTATGTTGGACGTCCATTACAAAAACTTGGGAAAAACTGGAACAAGATGGGAAAGTAAAAATTTCAAGAAAAATGCACATGTAATTTATGGACAGCTCAAGTGCTTACACTGTAGAAAATGGACTTACACCACTTTCAAAATAAACGGTCCATTTAATAAGTATTAAAATCGGTTGTTAAAATATCTGTTAAAATCGGAAGATGATGAAACTTTGATCATTACTTCACTGATATTACAAAAGTTTTATTTTCTATAAATCTTTATAATAAATATTTAAAAAGTTAGTTGATACATTGCTGTTATTCAAATTTTTCAAATTTTCATTTGTACCTGATAAGTCTTGATGATTTATTTGACTGAACCTTTGTTTCGACTGTATATTATCTCCTAAATATAGATTTATACAAGTATCAGTAATATTTAGGTCCAGATCACAAAAATCGTTATGTAATCCATTCATGTAGTCCATATATTCCGTGTACTCTGTTATGTAGTTTATTACATCTATCCATAACGTCATAAACACTTTATATAGTGTTAACGATACTACATCATATAAACTCTGAAAGATAACAAAAACGTCTATTAAATGTCGTCATTTAACTCTATTATATTATTTGTACTCAGTGTTATAAGTATACGAAACTTGTAGTATTGTTATTTCACTCATTGCATATTTTAAAAGTTATTTTTATTACAAAAGTACTTTTTTTTAGTGTTCTTCCAACTCCTATATACAAAATATGGATCCCCTGTCTTTCATTTCAGACATTAATTCAGGGTGAATTACTTAAGAAATTGCATTCTTTTAACAAATTATATAATAAATAATAAATGAAAAGTCAATTATTTACTAACCTTAAATCGAATTATGGGTTTTGCTTTATGCAAAATATATTTTTTTATTCTCGAAAACATCTTTCCAACAATTGCGCGCATTCACTACTCATTTAATATTATTTCGTAACATTATAGCATTGCATTGTTAAGATTTTTATTATTTCTAATACGAAGAGATTAAAATGTAAATTGTATGTAATTTAAAAGAAATTATACGTGTATAAAATCTGCTTCCCAACATTATTAAGTGTGTTAAAAAATAAATTATTTATTATTACATCGTCACAATGCTGGGATGCAATTTTTAATTATATTTTTAATTAAATGAGACAACATTTCTAGACAATCGCGTAATAATTTATGAAAAATATTTCATAAGATAATATAAACAAGTGTACTTTGTTATTAAAGATAAGTTAATGCAATCTACAAAACCTAAACTTCTCCTTTATCACTGATAAATACTCCTTCCAGTTAATTATTATCGTTCTTCATTTTAGTCAATGCAATATACAAGGTCTGTTCAAAAAGTATCGGACCTTTGGTCGGCAAAAATAAATTTATTGACTTTGAGGTACAAAACCCTAATCCCCTTCAAAGTAGTCTCCTTGGTAATGTATACACTTCTCCCAGCGTTCCTGCCATTGCTGGAAACACTGCTGGAACGCATCTTTTGGAATGG